CACGAATATTTTATGGAAACCATCATGCATGCAAGATAAATCATTTTTCAGTCAGGAGCCTGGTGCTTCCCCTCTGATGGCCTCAGAATTTGAAGAGTGTGGTATAGAGGAAAGAGCGTGGGCTTCGAGAGCTAGACCCAAGGTTCACATGCCAGCTATGTAACTTATTGGTTATAGGGCCCTTAGTCCTTGATCTCTTCCTCTGTAAAATGAGGATAAAAACAACTGATTTTAGGGCTATGGTGAGAATTAAATAGCAAAGTCGAGCACTCAAGGACAATGAGTTTTGGAGGCTGAGAGTTTTGGGTCTTCCATCTACTGTGAGACCTTGAACAATTTACATGATCTCTGAACTTTAGTTTCCTCACCTGTAACATAGAATAATAATAGTGGCTCCCTCAGAATTTACTGAGGATTAAGTGAGATGTGTCTAGAAAAGAACTAAAAAGAAGACCTGGGACATAGAAAGGTCTAAGAAGAGATCAGCTCTAGGGCCGTATGATGGTTGGGAGTGTGGACACCAGACCTCCAGTCCTGTATTTGATTCTTGCTCTGGCCATGTTTAGCTGCGGGATCTGGTGCTGGTGATTTCACCTCTTGTCTCAATGGCTTCATCTTAAAATGGGGATAATAATAACATGTGCCTGTGGGTGTGGAAAGAGGATTAGATAAGATAATATACGTAAAGTGTTTAGAATGGTACCTAGCACCTGGTAAGTGCTCAATAAATGTTTCTTATTACTAGCATTGATTATTCTTATTTCCTTTCCCTTTCCTGATATCTGCAGGATTTTCTGCTCTCATGTAGGCAGAGAGAGTCTGGGTTGAAGGCTGAAGTGAATAACTGAGCAGGGCTGGCCTGAGATCCCTGTGGGCCCAGAGCTGTGGCCCGGCTCCTTCCTGTGCCTCCTTATCCACAGCCTCCAGCCTCTGGCCCTGCTTCTTCAGAGTGGGCCCAGGGGTCTGGGGGGCCCCATTTTGAAGCTGGCTTTGCGGTCAGGCAGCTGTAATCTGTCCCTTGAGCCACACCAGAGTCTCATTAAAACGTGCCCCATAAATGTTAAAAAATTTACACATAAAAAAATTCCATGCATGAAACTGAAACCGTACGTTTTACAGCCTCGGTTTGAAATCTTGCATAATATATAAAACCTTGGCCTGCACTGGGGGCCTGTAAATCAAATTTTATAAAACAAAAAGCTTTTACCTTTCAAAGGGGTTTGGGGAACTTGCAAATTTTACAAACTTTACCAACTGCCAGTCAGAGGCAGCTGGGCCCAAGGAGGGAAACGCTGGCCAGCTAAGAAATAGGCCTGGGGAGCACTGGGGAGCTGTGGGAATTGGGGATTTTACCAGGCGAGCTACCCAGGGGCATTCCAGCTTTCTTGCAAATTTTACAAACTTTACCAACTGCCAGTCAGAGGCAGCTGGGCCCAAGGAGGGAAATGCTGGCCAGCTAAGAAATAGGCCTGGGGAGCACTGGGGAGCTGTGGGAATTGAGGATTTTACCAGGCGAGCTACCCAGGGGCATTCCAGCTTAGCCACCAGGAGGGTGGTAAACCACTCCCATCGCATGGAAATGGGGAGGTAGAGAGGGTCAGAGTGTGGGTGCCAGGGCAAGGGAGATTGGTGGCACTATCTTATTTATAAATGAGGGCTTTATTGACACCAGGGAGAAGAGAGGTGCAGTGACATACAGGAGGAGTCAGCCGACCCGGGCTTTGGCCTCCATAGGTCACTTCCCTTCTCTGGACTTCAGCGTCCCGCTTATGAAATGGGGGGCGGTGAGGGGGGAAGGTTGGACTTGCTTCTCTTTAGGGTTTGTTTCCCTCCAAGTTGTTGTGATTCTGTTTCTCCTCCAGTAGGGGCGCTGTGGGAGCAGCTGGCTAACCCGGAAGGGACATTCCCTCCGAAATCTACAACGTGGGAACCTCTGATCTCTTGGGGCAGCTCCGGGAGACCGTGGGCAGCACGGGAGGGAGCTACAGGGCAACTTGCTTGGGAGACATGGAGAGGATTCGCGACCAAATGGTGGTGGGCCTGGCGGGGCTGGAGAGAAGGCAGGGCCCGAGCGAGGTCAAGGGCCTCGGGACGGGGGTGGGGGTGGGGGTGGAGGGGGGAAGAGCCCTTCCGAGGGGCGAAGTTCTTAGGGACCCAAGTGCCCTCCTAACAGTCCCATCTATGAAAGTCAATATTCAAGGGCAAAGGAAAGCCGCCCTGACACACATATATATAAAAAATAAATCTCTCAATTATCTCAGCTCATTTGCTTGGGGTCTCTCATTTTATGTCCCTGCTCAGCTGCGCAGTATATCTGTCCGGATAAAGAGTTACAGTCCGTTGGGCTACGTGTGCAGGGTTGTAAAAAATACAGATGCCAAATTAACTGGCTGTGGCACTCGGCAGCTGATTGAGCTGATAATGACGCGATCTGACCTTTTTCTAATTTCTAATTACGTGCATCCCGGCTGGGCTGGCTACATGATTCTTGTTCTAATGATGGCTCCTGTGGTTGTCCTCTTCATCTCTCCCCACCTGACACAGGACCAGGAGTGGGGGTGGCAAAGGGCATTCATTGCTTGACTCTTCAAATAAAGTTTTAGGGTCCCCGGCCACACAGTCTCTGTGGTGGCCAGGGGGTGAGGTTGGGAAATGGAACACCTTGCAGTAGAAATACTGCATTTGAGTTTAACTTTCTGGATGCCAGGCATTTTTAAAGGCCATTTCCCTGAGCCTTCTCATTAATTTACTACAATCACATGAGATAGGTGTATTAGAGCTACCGAGGAGGAAACCGAGCTTCAAAGGAGTTCAGTCATCAAAGTCACACAGTGAGTGAGCAGTGAAGCTGGGCTCAAGTTTTTTGTCTCTAAGTGTTTTTTCAGATCTCTCCATTTATGTGATTAGTCAACCAATCAGTCAATCAACCGATCATTGACTGTAGCTAACTCATCTAGGTAAATCAGGTCCACATGAGTAGGTGGAATGACCAAGGATCGCTCCACCAGCTGGACCCCTCTCAGCCCAGTCTCCTGTGATAGAAAACCAAGGAATGCCAGAGGTCCGTGGCCACTAGGGAATCTACAACATCCATGTCAGGCCTGGCACATAGCAGACACTCAATCTCCTTCTGTTGGATTCAATCAAGAAATCTGATTCTCTGAACAGAACCCTGAGACAGGGGGCGGTGTTGGCAAGGGGAGAGCATGGAGCTGGCCACTTTTTGGTATTTTCCAGGCTGTGCTAGAATGGGAGGCTTTCTTTGTTGGGTCTTCCATAGCTCACCAGGCAGGTGGTGGGTGGAAAGGCAAGTGAGGTTTGTTTCCCCAGGACTCCTACCTCTCAAGAAGGCTTAAAATTTTTCACAGCACTCAGTCTAATTTTAGGTATTTCCTTACCAACTTAGGCCTCAGTTTCTTTTTGTGCCAAGTGAGGGAAGTGGGCCCTGGCCCCCCAAGACCATTCCAGCTCCTGCAGAAACGGCTGCTTCCTCTCTTGGCTCCATGGCTGCTGTGGGTCTGGGTTCTAAGGATCTGCTTCCTGACTGTAGTCTGTGATTCTGATCAGTCAAAGAGCAGGGCAGGGAGGGACCAGCCTGCACTTAATATTTGACCAGTTAGAGAACTTGCACGGGGAAGCTTTCCCAGGGGATCTCAGAGACAGTGACCTGGCCTCCTGGGAAGTGGGGCTGCTCAATCCCAGCCAGGGAAGAGGAAGGGCAAGGTATGAGCAGAGGTGGATTTGGGTGCTCAGATGCCTCCACTAACACTCCACTAACACGGCGGGCAAGTGGTTATCCTCTGGCCGAGGCCTGTTCTGCTCTAAATGTCGGCCCCATCATAACACTTCACAAATTTCCAGGCTGGTGGCTCTCCTGGTCGCTCTTCTGGACTCCATAAAGTACCATATTCAACTCTTGAGAGAAGCAGTGGTGTGGATAATTGACAGCACAGAATAATACTAAAGCCATTTACATCCGTTCTGCAGACGCACTGTGTGTGTGTGCGTGTGTATGTGTGTGCGCACACGTGGGTAGTTTTTCTTCCTGCCTTTGTGGAACCACATTTGCTTTTCTACCTCCGCTTCCCTTTTAGAAGCAGTTATGGGCTAAACTCTGGATGCAGGAGGTCAGCACTATAATCGATCAGTTTGTGGGGGAGAGTTTTGCAGAGTTTCCAGATTCACCATGCATAATCTGGGTAATCCATCCACAGAAAAATCAAAAATTGTGGTTAATAATTCCAGGATGACTATTTAGAGTAATGAACAAACAGAGCTGCCTCTCCATTGCTCTTTCTCAGCAGAATTCCCAGAGCTAGATGAGAATTTTAGACGTCATTCAACACAGTGGTTACCAAATCTAATTGATGATTACAATTTCCCAGGAAACTTTAAAAAATTTAGCTTCATAGGTCCCTATCGAATTTACAGAACCATAATTTCCGGATGGTGTAGCCCAGGAATGTGTATTTTATAAAACTGCAGTGATGATCTGGATGATAACCTGGGCTTGGAAGCCTGGTTAACTGTGCCCCCCTAAATGGGCAAGACCTCTGCTGGTCTTGTCAACTTGACTGTGTGTCCAGGTCTTTCTCTATTATCGTGCTTGGTCATGACTGTTACCCTCATTCAACCATCAGCTGTTCTCTGGGCATCCCAAGACAGATTTGCTAACATGCCAGGACTCCAGGCCTCAGAACAGCTATCCTGGGCATTCTGGCTGCTATGACCCTCCTTTCCTTTTGTCTGCACTGCAAGAAGGTGGGTGGGTCAGATGCTGGTGTCACCATGGGCAGAGATGGGGAGGACTTCAGTAATAAAGCCTGTGCATGGAACAGAAATGGTTCCTAGCTGCTGGAATGGAGCATCTAGTGCCTGCCCCATGGTGGGCACTCAACACTTTTGTTGAATGAATTAATGAAAGGGTCATTTCTAGCACATTTGGAGGGGATCAGAGGATAGGAAGACTCTAGCTAGGGTAGGGGGTGGAGGGTCTTTACCAGATTGTCCAGTTCTGGGTCATCGCTGAAGAAGGGTTTGTGCTCCTGCTCCTGCTGGTGGACAAAGTTCTCGATGTCCACGTCAAAGCTGGCGGAGGTGATGCACTCAGAGCCCTGGGTGGCCTGTTCACATTTCTCAAACAGCAGCGTCAGGAGCGGGAAAAGAGGGTGCCTGCAGGGACATCAAGAGCTCACACAAGCGTACACACAGAGACCATGCTGCTGGCTGGGCTCAGAAGCCAGCAGGCTCCCTTGCCCTTATTCCTGTCACTTCTTCTCCCAATGTCCCACTCCATGAGAATGTCCCAAATCCCCACAGTCAATCTAGATGATAGCATCTTGTGCCTTGGCATGGAGGATCCAGTTTACCCATTCCCGGGGCCTCAGAGAGCTCCAGTTCCTACCTCCTGAGGGCCAACCTTTTCTTTTTGGTCAGATAAGCTACATAGCTCTTTGGAGAGGGAAGATGAGTTATAACCCTTTGAAGAAGTAGGTTCCATTTCTGGCACTGAGTCAACCCAAGAAGGAAATGTGGGAAGTGTCCAGAGAAGTCCTGGATGGGAACATTAGTGGTAGGTCACAGACCTGTTCTCTGCTGTCTGGAGCCAGTGAGGCTGTAAGATGTGTACAAACACCCGTGCGTTTCCTAGTGCCTGCAGAGGGATGTGTATGAGCCCACATACTCGTCCACACACGGTCGGCAGATGCCTCCACCTGTCCTGTGGCTGTTGGCAGACTCGGTTTAGGTCAGACACCCCAATTACATGCATAACATTTCCATCATCACACCCTCAGCACAACTGTAATTAAATGATTATTTGCATCAGTATTTGTTCACTGTTTTCCTTTAAGACTGTATCTGTTTTAATAATCATGGTATTCCTAGGACCTTGCCATGAATGCTCATGGCAGGCACTTAATGGATTTTAGCTTGGATATCACCAAATCCTGAAAGCTTCCCTGATGGCCCCCCCTTCCCCAAACGTATGCTGATAGCCCCTGAGTTGTTCATAATCTGCCTTCCTCACTAGACTGTGAGCTATGTGGGGGTAGGAACCAAGCCCACCTTATTCATCACTGTGTGTCCAGAGTCTCACAGAGGTATGTGGATCTCAATAAGCGTTTGTTGAATGTATGTTATATGTGTGTATGCTTACTTGCATATGTAAGCGCATGTTGGTTGTTGACACTGGGGAGCCCCATTCCCTCCTACTGTGGTTCCAAAAAAGCATCTGCACATCCCTCTCTGGTCTGCCTCCTCAGACTCCTGGGACCACGAAATCTAGCTCCTTTCTTTGTGGTTAAGCCCTGCGTGCTGGGAGAGGAGGAGAAATGTGTGTTGGACCTGGCCCCCAGGCCCGTGCCAAAGGGGATGCTCTAGCCAGCACTGTTCAGGAGAACTTTCTGCAGTGATGGATAAAATGTTCTGCAATCTCCGCCGTCTAGTAGGGTAGCCACTAACCACATGAGGCCAATGAACACTTGAAATATGGCTACTGTAACCAGGTTGCTGAATTTAAAATTTTATTTTATTTTAATTAATTTAAATTTATTTTTATTTATTTATTTTTTTCCCCTTTTTTTTGTCTTTTTTACTGACCGGTAACGGGATCGCAACCCTCGGTGTCGCGCCCGTACCAGGGACCGGCAACGGGATCGCAACCCTTGGTGTTGCGCCCGCACCACGCTCAGCCAGTGAGCGGGAACCGGTCGCCACATGGGATCCGAACCCTCGGCGGGAGCGCCGCCGCACTCTCAAGCGGCGCACTCTCCAGTGCGCCACCGGGCCGGCCCTAATTAATTTAAATTTAAATAGCCACACGTGAACACAGTAAATCCTGAAAAGGAAAATAGACCATGCTTTCCCTTTCCAGCACACTATGGTTGAATACGCTGAGAGAAGGACTGAACATCTAGCCTACACAGCATTTGTAAGCAGGTGGGGAACCCCTGTGAGCCTGCCCCATTCTGAAATTCTAATAATTCTGCGTGAAACGATAAGAAGTCGTGGAAAGGCTCACACCATCCACACTCATACCCACATTTTCGAGTCTTTCTACTCAGGCTCAGGGCAGCGGGGGATGACGGGAGATAAATTCTTGTTTCGGACGAGCTGCTGAGGAGCAGAGCCTTACCCTGGACACAGTCTCTCCGACCCCTGTTTGCGAGCTGATGCATCAGCTGCTTGGCCCCACAGCTGCAGGCTGGGTGTGCAGCCTGCAGGGTTAATATTTAAGGGTGGCCCATCTACAGCCCCAAATTGCCAGAAGATCTGTTGAGCCCCAGTAGAAAGCTGGTAGGGAAAACAAGGGGTTAGCTTAGCCATCCAGCTGAAGACAAAGAAAAAACCAGGTGAAGGGGTTAAACTCCAGTATAAGTCTTCATTTGCAGCCACTAATACTGCAGCGTATTATAGTCTAATCTAACCTGATCCTAGTTTAATGCAAGATTCTCTTGGCCCTGAGTGGAATACCAAAGAAAGCCTCAGTGGCTGTAATTTAAGCAGAGCCCTACAGTGGTTTAGCTGAGGGACATGAAAGGCAAATTCCAGACGGTGTTATGAATTATTGCGCCTTATGAACCTTCCTACTCTCAACAGATGCCTGCTGCCATTTAAACAGCCACTAGATCAATTAGGAATGAAAGGCACAAATCGACTCTGTACCAGGGCACTAAATTACCAGGAACTAATAATCCGCAGCATCGTGCCAGGTGGTGGGGGTGCAGCCCCCGCTCCAGCCCTGCGGCAGCCGCGGTCACTGCACACTCTTCTCACAGGTTGCAGGGAGGGGATGGTGTGTGTGTGTGCACGGGGTGAATGCAGGCTGTCAAGAGCAAGGGTGTGAGTGCTGTGTGCTGTCCTGTGTTTTCACTGTGTGTGCACACATGGGGTTTTGTTTATGCATGACATGTGCACATATTGGTTGTGTGTATGCAACCAGGTGCAGATTTTGTGTGCTGCGAGTACCGTGTATGCATGTGTTCCGTGTTCTCTATATGCAATATGTATGCAGGGATTGTGTGTTCTTTGTACACGGTGTGAGTGGCGTGTGGGGTGAGGAAGAGTGATCTACCGTGACTGAGTCCCCTGGCACTGGGGTTGGGGTGGGGAGAGCAGGGTGGTCTCCTCTGCTTCTGTCCTTGTACCTGTAGGGAGGAGGGCCTCTCTGAGGAGGTGACATTTAAGTTAAGCCTGGAATGATGAGGAACAGTCACACTGAAGGAGAGGTATTCCAGGCAGGAGAGAAAGCAAAGCACTTGAGATAGGAATGAACTTGGCATGTTTCTGGAACAAAATCTAGCCGAGTATGGCTGGAGCAAGGTAGGCAGGAGGGGAGTGGAGGGAGGGGAGGGTGAAAAGGCAGCAGGAGTTAGATCTCGAGCTGCCTCACAGGCCTCAGACAGAGTTGCGCTTGTGGTGGTGGTGGGGTGGGCAGTGGAGGTATCATCACATACACTGGGGAACAATGCACACCTTCTTGGCAGACCCACAGCAGGGATCTCTTTTATAACCCTCTTTCACTTCCAGGTGTCAGCTATCCCCACAATGGGGGCGTGTGTGCGTGTGCACGCACACGTACATGTGTGAGTGTGGAATACGTGAGGGTGTTTTCTATAGCTTCTGCTATCTCAGAAGAAGGAAACAGGCTGCCTGTCCTTCCTCTGAGGTAACTAAGAGTCCATGGAGCACAGGGTGGACCTCACGGACGCTGGCCTGGCCTTCTCTCTGCAGCAGCTCTCACCTGAGGAGTGGGCAGCAGGGATGGGAAGGCAGCGGGCAGCACTGCCGGCTCCCAAATCCTCCTTCTTAACCCACCCTCCCCAGGCTCCTGCATCTGGTTCCTCCCAGGTGATCCCAGGAGTCCTGTCTGTCTTATTGAACTCAGACGGTGCCTGAGCTTACCCACAGCTTTCATGTGAAACATAGCCAGGGCCAGTATGGCTGCCTGAAGCTCCCACACTCTTTGCACCTGGATCACTCATAAACCCAGACTGCTACCTGCTACCTTGAGCACGGGGACTGCTGAGACGCTGCAACCTCCTGCGAGATGGGCTCAGTTTCCCAGGGACTCAGGTGGGTTCCGTGGCTGCAGCCATGGCCCTGGGGTACTCTAAGGCTGTTCCCAGCTATGGGAGAGTCGTCTGCCCTTTCCCAGTCACCCAGCCTGTGCCAGCCTAAGGGCTGACCTATATTTTCTAAGCTACCCTCCAACATCGTCCCATAAAGCAGGAGATGAGGCTGGCAGCTACACTCAAGGAGTTCTTTCCAGCAGCCTCAGTTGTAGGCTTGGGGATCCCCCCTTGAATATAGCAGAGTCCATGAGAGCTGGCATCTAAGCCACCTGAGACATGAATGGCCCTGTCTGAGATGGGATGGGGTGAGGAGAAGGATTTCCAGTTAGATGTGGGATCTTGGCCTTCCCTGAGCCCCAGTTTATCCAACTAGAAAATGGTTTTTAAGGAGTTCCTCTTCTCACTGTCCTGATCTCTCCCATTGTGAATCAATATTCTTCGGGGGCTAGAAGCAGGAATGTGAAACTCAGTCCGCAGTGCCCAGAAGACAACGAACAAGCTATGAGAGATGGTCATTAGATTTTATTTCCAAAGAGCTGAGGACATTTGACCTCTCTAAGAGCTCACCTTCTCCTTCCCAGACCCTTCTCAGCTCTTCTGCCCCGCCCGATGTCGCCTCCTGTGCCTCCTGCGCCTCCTGCGTGACTGCCCCCTCCACCCCAATCTCTCTTAAGCCATTCAAAATTTGGAGGAAATAAATCTCACTGCACTAATTCAGTGAGAGTTTGAGCCTCGTCAGTGCAGAACAAATAAAAGGAGTGAACTGGCATGACATTTTACTGCAGAAGAGAGGTCGTTTCCAGCCACTAATAAAAAGGATTTGACACAGACTAATAAAGAGAAATGAATTTCTCTAATGGCCTAATTTAGCACATTCAGCACTGTGCCTCCGCCTGGGTGCTGGGGGGGCGGGAGCCTTCGCCATGAGTGCGGACACAGGCAGGAGAGGGAAGAAGAGATGATCTCGAATAACATTTTATTATTTCTTTTTTCTTTTCTGAGCCCCCCACCCCACCCCCACCCTCATCACCTCTCCCCAGGAGCATCTGAACTAAAATCAAGCTCAAGATATGCAGTTCCTGTTAACGATCCAAAGAA